CTTATGTTGACAAGGTCAAATCAGCTAGACTAGTTCATGCCAATTGGACATTTGATTCAAATATGATTTGGTTCAGTCCAAGAACTTAACCTAGTGCTCTAATACCACTATTGGAAGGGCAAAAATCAGAATAAACATGGCTGAATTAGTTTTGGTGGCTAGCCGAATTTTAAAAATATTCTAACACCACCTGAGAACCGATTTCCTAATAATTTTGAAATCTCAAATTTCAATATCGATCTTGCACTGAATCGGACCAAATTTGAAACTCAAATTAAAAACTCATTGTACCTAATATGGAGACCTCAACATGTAGCTCCCAAAGTGGAATTCACACCCAATATCAGTCCCAAAAATGGCCTCCAACTGAAAATGGCACAATGTGTACGTGAAGCTGATTCAACAACATTGTTTCAACGAAAAAGTGGTTCGCAATTTGCTTTGATCGAAATAGATATGTGAAATTGTCATCCTCTTATGTTTTTCTTGAAAAAACACAATAGATAACTTATGGAAATCAGTCCTTACCTCAACTGGGTCGAATTAGGGTTTTTTGGAGGAAAGAGAGAAGAGAAGAGAGCAAGAGAGTGAGGGAGAATTGGTTAAATTGTCCCTCCCCTCTTAGTCCTTATATAGAACACTCTCCTAATCAATTAGAAGCTGATCCAAATCAAATTTGGATTAAAAGTTTATCTTTAATTGATAAGCATTATCTTCTGAAGAAAATAGGTGCTCCATACCCATTTTCTTTAATGGTTCACATCCAAAGTGTTGCATGGTCACTTTGGGCCTAAATTTTGTATAGCGCGGGACCCATAAAGGTTTTACGCAAGTTCATAAGGATTCAACCCCACTTCTAAATTCATTACTCAGGGGTAGTGAACCCCTGACCCAATTAGCTTGGGCTCAGTTTGGGCCCAACATTTATACATAAATAATTATTGGATTCAACCACCCCATGAAGACACAAGTATAATTGTCTTATGTAAGATAAAGCCTATCACATAATCAACCTTATAATGGTCTCTTACACCTAACCTATCAGCCCATAATCATCAAAACGCTGCCCACAAGGAAGAACCTCTTCCTTGATTACAAAATGTAGTATCATACTCTCTATTCAAATGGATCTCGGGATTAAAATCTTTTTATAAAATAATAATATAACATATAATTACATTTTTGCAAATCAGATTTGAAATACAATTGAAATCCACCGCCGACAATTTAGGTTTCCATTAAAGAGAGTATAAACCTTGATATTCACTTTGTTTGGCAAAGGGGCCGATACTATCACTATGATCACCTTCTCAGGTGATTTCCTAAACTACCCCAACATGCCTAGATATTTGACCCTTGATGGATTTCACTAGATAGCACATCAAAGGCAACTAAGTCTAATTTCAAAAGTGTCCAGTTTAAAGAGTAATTCATAGAAACACACCAATAAAAACATAAAACAATATTGTACTTTATTCATTTATTGGTAAATGTTTATGGACATCAATCTGATTGGACCTAAGGGCATACATTATCTAACACAAAAGTGACCCATTTTTGAATGATCCATACACTCTATGGATACTATATCAATTGATGCATACAATGTAAGGATTGACAACGATTCAGCCTATATGTTTGAGAAGAGTTTGATTTTATTTTCGCTAGGGTGCAAAAAAGAAAATCTAAAAAGTATCAACCTTATGTGTTAGAATCTACTTCAAATGGAAAATTCCAAATAAAATAAAATTTAGTTGAATAGATAAGCAATTTTTGTATATTTGCATTGTGGGATTAGTAACAATGTTGAGTTAATTTATGATGTTATTAGACATTATGTTTATAAAATTTGTTTAATGACATTAAAAGATAATTTTATTTTTTGATTCTTTTTGCATTTCAGTAATTTTGATTTTGAAATTGTAGTATTTTTTTACATTTTTTAAATTTTTTATATTTGGAAAAGTAATTTCAAAAAGTATCAATTTATTTGTTTGGACATTGTCAGTAATTTTTATTTTTGAAATTTCAATAATTTTTTACATTTATTTTTGCATTAATAGTAATTTTGATTTAAAAATATCAATTTATTTATTTTGATAGTTTCAAAAAGTAGTTTCAATATTAAACACACCAAAAAATGCAAAAAAAAATGTTGAAAATTACCAAAAATGCAAAATGAACTTAAAATTATTGAAAAATCCTCGTGCATCACACAGGTCCCCGCTAGTAAATAAATATTAGAGTTAAATTGCTAACACCTCCCCTGTTATGTTGACCCCTTTGGTAGAATCCTCTAACAAGAGGCATGAAAATGTCCAAAACACCCATGTAGTTACTTTTGACCAAATGTTTATTTTCCAAATTTTTTCTTTATATCAATAGCTACCTGGTACCCCATTCCAAAATTGATTTATTTTCCAAATTTTCCTTCATATCAATAAAAGGTAAAGGTGTAGCTTTAAACTCTTTTTTTTTTGTTCAGTTTGTATTATTTTTTATGTAAAAAAGTAAATACCAGCCTCAATAGTAAGTGCATGGGTATTTTGGACATTGTCATACCTCTTATTAGAGGATTTTAATCAAGGGGATCTACTTGCAACTATGTCAAAAAGTTCAAGGAAGGTGATTGCAATTACCAAACTTCAGGTGAATTTTCAGCAATGGTAAGAAACTTCAGGGGGGGGTTTAGCAGTTTACCCTAAATCTTATTGTTACACACTATAGTTGGCTACTCAATATTAAGTATCACACATGGGAAGACCACCAATGCAAAAGACGGGTGGCGGACATTCATTGGATCTACTACTTGGAAATTTTTAAATAAAAGGAAAGTCAAATGAAAAAAACTCGAGTGATAACTTCTTTAATGGAACCACCATTGATGTACAATTGGAAGGAATTTTCGTCGAAAAATTGAGCCAAGATAGATGTTTTCCAGGAAGATCAACCCTTACCTACAATTAGGGGTGGCCACGAGCCAAGCCTTTCACGAGCTTTTTGAGCTCGGCTCGGCTCAGTTTAAATCAAGCTTCAAGCTGAATTTGAGCCCAATATGTAGGCTCATTTGCTAATTGAGTCAAGCTCGAGTTCAATGAAGCTCGACTCGTGAGGCTCACGAGCCTAGTATTAAATAAATTATTTTTAATACATATATACATACATACATACATACATACATACATACATACATACATACATACATACATATATGTATATATGTATGTATGAGCTTAGCTTCAAGAATTTCAAGATTTCAAGCAGAATGGGTGTATCATAGAAGTTGGGAAATTGCCCTCTCTCCCCAAGCTCGAATTAGGCCTCTATTTATAGAGGAAAGGGAGGTAGATGGGTCAGAAATTCGTCCAGTTATAGTGTCTGTGATTCAACAAAGCTCTTCCACTGAAATAGGCAAAGATTTTGAAAGAGAAGGGCTTGCAGTTGATCATTCCTTCTTTGTGCAACAGATTTCCTTGAGTTTGGGATGCTTCTTATGAATTTCGTGCAACCAATGAGGGATTGGGGCATGCCAGACATTGAAGCCCCGTATTTAGGGCTGATGGGGGCAAAAAACGTAAATTTGATAAACTTTTAAATGAGGTTTTGTCCTTTCTTAGTTTTAAGTGGGGGCCTGTTTGGTATTTTGAGCTCTTTAAGCCTATTAGACTCAAATTCATTGGTCCAGGTGTTTTAATGGGGTTAAGTAAGGAGCTAACATCAGTCCCCCCGAGATTCATTACAGGTGAGCTTTTGATCAATAAGATTCATCAAAGCTTGATGTTGGGTCAAACAAGTGAATTTTCGGATGAAATTTGGTGGGTAGGTATGGATTGGGCTTATGAGGCTCTTGGAAGGGTTTGATCGTGTTAGATATTTACAGATCATGGGTTTTAGGTTTGAGGAGCGCCATAATGTTATACGCGTCAAAATGAAATCTCTGATGAATGATTGGCTAAATCCAAGAATTTAGGGTTGAAATTTTGTGTGATTGATTGTTTAAGGATTTTATTTCATGTGATGGAGTTTGGTCGGGGATCAAGTATTGTGATGTGGCATAATAAAGACCATCAAAAGGGAATCATGTAGATTTAACAATGGATTTATGGGCATTTAGGCTAAAATTTGGTTTCTTAGGGTTTTGGCATGTTTTAAAATGGCTGGCGTTGTCCGATCAGGCATCTGAAATATAAGAGATGGATCAAAGAAGGGACCAAGCAAAAATTTGATGCTAACAATTATATATTTTTATAGTCATTTTTATTATATATTTTTATTTTTATGTATAATATTAAATAATTTTTATAATTCTTAATTTTTTGTCTAAAAAGTAAAATAATTTATACATATAATTTTTATTTTTTAAAAAAAAACATAATTTATAGTCAAGCTCAAACAGAGCCAAGCAGAACTTAGCTCAAGCTCAACTCTCGAATCCTTGAAGTTGGGCTCAAATCCACCCTTACCTGCAATCAATCAAATGAAGCTTTTAAAAAAAATTTAAGAAGGTTAAAAAGAAATAAAACTGGACCATAAAAAACAAATTACTTGGATATGTGGTTTTCCGGTAGAGTTTAATTAAGGGTCAGCACCTAACATGCGAAAGCTAGCCCAAGCCGTAAACCATTTGTTTATTCGTATAATTTATGCTATATAGAGCGCTAGGCTTCATGTAGAAACTGCCGTGGTGCTTTAGGTTATCCGTCACACCCACTCCCCATCTCCCAATGCATTTGGGCGTTTCAACTACTTAGAAACTCGATTTTGACACTCAACATCACATCAAGATAGAGAATTCAGAATGCCCATCAAATCAATTTTCAGAAAACAACCAAAGTAATTAGGAAAAAGGGAAACCCATCACCGATCAGCGCAAAATCTCAAAGTTACGCTAATTTCAGCTTAGTAGCTCACCAAATCAAAACGGCATACAACCATGCACGCCAAGAAACATAACTCCCCGGTCGATCCCTCTATAACACATGAACCATCCCAACCACAACAACAAACTATATGATATATCATCCTCATCACAATACCCACTCCATCATCACCCCAACATGATCGTCTCAAGCAACCAAACTGCCTTCTTTTCCGTCAAACTCCCTTCAGATTTCATTTCTAAGCATCTATTCCTCTTGCCAGAGATCCAAGCAATAGAGCTCTTCGTTGCTCTCATTGTTTTTGCAGCCATACGCTCTCTCAGGCAAGAGAAACGCCATGGTTTGCCCATTTGGCCCTTCTTTGGAATGTTACCTTCTTTGCTTCTTGCTCTACGTGCAGACATATACGAATGGATCTCCGGTGTCCTGAACCGCCAGAATGGTACCTTTACGTTCAGGGGTCCTTGGCTTACCAGTGTCAACTGCGTCGTCACCGCTGACCCTCGCAACCTGGAGCACCTTCTGAAGACCAAGTTCGCCAGTTTTCCAAAAGGTGGCTTCTTCCGGACCACCGTCCGTGACCTCCTCGGCGACGGGATCTTCAACGTTGATGACAATCCTTGGCGTCGCCAGAGGAAGACTGCAAGCATTGAGTTCCACTCGGCTGAGTTCCGTAACATGACCAGCGAGTCACTGGTCGAGCTTGTCCACTCACGTCTTCTGCCTGTGTTGGAAGATTCAATCAGACAGTCCGTCCCCATCGACCTACAGGACGTACTTCTGAGGCTTACATTCGATAATGTCTGCATGATAGCCTTCGGAGTTGACCCTGGGTGTCTCAGGCCTGGTTTACCAGAAATCCCATTTGCTCGAGCTTTCGAGGATGCTACAGAGGCGACGGTGATTCGCTTCATAACACCAATAACTCTTTGGAAGATAATGCGATATCTTGATTTAGGCATCGAGAGGAAGCTCAGGCGATCCATAAGGCAAGTCGACCAGTTCGCGGAGGAGGTCATTCGTACCAGAAAGAAGGAGCTGTCTGTGGATTCTAATGAGAAGAGGGTGAAATCAGATCTTTTAAGCGTCTTCATGGGTTTGAAAGATGAGGACGGAAAGCCATTCTCAGATAAGTTCTTGCGGGATATCTGTGTAAACTTCATTCTTGCCGGAAGAGATACTTCGTCGGTGGCATTGAGTTGGTTCTTCTGGCTGCTTGATCGGCATCCAGCAGTGGAACAACAAATCCTGAAGGAGATTTGCTGCATAGTCCGACAAAGGGTCAATTCTGACAAAGGGGAGAGCAATGGTCCTCTAGTGCTCAGGCCAGATGAAGTGAAGAAGATGGATTATTTGCAAGCCGCTCTGTCAGAGGCCCTAAGGCTGTACCCTTCCGTGCCGGTGGATCACAAGGAGGTAATGAGTCAATGAGTCACTTGCTTGCTCCATGTGTTGATTATATTATACTTGCCAAATATCCGTATATTTGTTTAGGAATTTATATATGAATACATATATAATTAAATAATTGTGCTTGTCCATAAGTTATGTGTGATCGAAAAAGTTTATTATCATATACGCATATCAAGGACTATGAGAAGTCAATGTTTGACTAATTATAAAATATATTTATTTTCAGAAACTTGGCCACAGGAAACCATTACAACTTACAAGAAAAGAGATCCATGACTTGAGTTTGAAACCAAATTAAGGGTTTATTCTCTATTCACTTGTTTTCTTGGCATCACATGAGTTTGTTAGTGGATGTGCTAAAGCATACAAGTATCAGGATTCATATTAGCATTTTACATTTAGTTTATAGGATTATTTACATGTTATTGTAGCATGGAGTTTCATAAATTGGAACTTTGCAGGGTTGGGTTGTCAAAGAACTAGGCTGACAACAGCCCATAGATTACTACCAGCCCATTGCATCCAATTAAACGGCAAGTGATCCATTTGGATAAGATATTGTTTTTGAGCTTAACTTGGGCCACAAATAGTGTTGTGAGCGTTTGGTAATAGTTAGGGGACAACTGGGGCGTGTTGGGTTGGCTTGAAGGTCAGCCGAGGACCAACCCTAAAGGTTCAAACCTCGGGCTCAGGCCTGGCCCAACTGAGGTTAAGCCCAAGTATATAAATTCAGGCCCTACCTGAACTTAATCCAATACAATTCATGTTGGGCCAAGTTGGGTTAGTCGGACTTGGGCAGATTGGTCAAATTTGTTTTATATATTTATCTTTTACTGGACTTTATAGCCCAATTTAAAAGTAAAATTACCTGAAAATATGCATAAATTTCATTTAATATTTTATACATATTCATACATACAAACAAATTAAAAAAAAAGGTATTTTAGATAAATATAATACATCTACACATATATTTTTCAGGTTGGCTTGGGTTGGGTTGGGTCGGGCGGGCTCAGGCTACCCAGCCCCAACCCATGTAAAAACTCAGGTTGGGTTAAGTTGAGCTAAGGTTGGACCCGCCCAAGTCGCACCGCCTAGTGAGAGTTACTTTTAATAAAAAACAAAACAATCTAATGCCAAAAACAATTTTTAGTGCATTGAAGCTCCTTTTAGTGGCTCATCCAAAGCAGTTTAACCAAAGCTTCAGCCCTCCCTAATGGGTATTAAGCCCCAAACTTTGTGCTTCTGGTCTTCTTTAAAATCACAAATTCTAAAACCCATCCAAAAGCAACCTAAATTTCACAGTAAGCTCGAGATCTCATCTATAAACATGCATAAATTTTTTATTTTTATCTTCTTTATTAATTACCAGGTTATTGAAGACGAGGTTTTCCCTGATGGGACAAAACTAAAGAAAGGGACGAAGGTAATCTATGCCATTTATGCAATGGGAAGAATGGAGAGCATATGGGGGAAGGACTGCAGGGAGTTCAAGCCTGAGAGATGGCTGAGAGATGGACGATTCATGAGCGAATCAGCTTACAAGTTCACAGCTTTCAATGGTGGGCCTAGGCTATGCTTGGGGAAGGATTTTGCTTACTATCAGATGAAATTCGCAGCTGCTTCGATCATTTACCGTTATCATGTGAAGGTGGTGGAGAATCATCCAGTAGTGCCAAAGTTGGCATTGACAATGTACATGAAATATGGGTTGAAGGTGACTCTTTGTAGGCGAGATGAGTCCGAGCTACGAACGAATCTTACGGCCGTATCTTAATGTCTTCAAATTGTGTTTGAAATACCGTGCATGCTAGTCATCTGTTGTTTTTATTTTTTATTTTTTTTTAAATTTTGAAGGTTTTCCTTTTATCAGAATATTTTCATTAATGTAATGTTTATTATAACGTTTAGAAAAATCACCAATAGGTGAATGATTGTAATGGATTAAATTTAGCAATGTCTTATGAAATTGAATAAATTATATTCCATGTAGGCAAGTGATAATATGATCATGCATGCATGATTATGTTTCTAAAGTCATTTTTTTTTTGTTCTAATTTTTTCGAACAAAAAATTAATACAGAATATAACTTCATTGATAATATCCAAACACGCAAATCTTATAGTGTATGTATATATACAAGTATATACATATTTGCAAGGTTTTGAAAACCAATCTAGAGAACAAACCGGTTAGGGGTTTGGTTCCCGGTTTGAACGGTTAATCGCTCGAATCAACGATTTGCTAACCAAAATCAACGTTTTTTAAAAAAAAATTCGGTTTTAGGGAAAAATAAAATCAGTCACCAAATCAGTTTCCAGTTTTTCCAGTCTGTCTAATCCGGTCCGATTTTGAAAAACATGCATATTTGCATGTAATGTTTTGTTACAACACTTTTCATTGAAAATATGCCGGAAGGCTTTTCCATTTTTTTCATGATTTTTCTTTTGTTGTTATCGAAAGGGAAGAGAACATCTCCCATATCATTTGTGGAGATATATTCTCATTACACGGCGGTAATGTGAGTGTCACGTATGGATGAACGGTTTGTGGGTAAAATATCCAGTGTGGTTAAAATCATGTTCCTCTCCTTTTCCGTGGCAAATTCTATAATGCCTTCTCTTGCAACACATGCGAGAAGATACGAGTTTCTTCATGCATTTATGCTAGTACTACGGGCAACGAATAGCGGGAACTCGTGCGGTGCATGGACTTTAAATGACAGAAATAAATAAGATTAGACAATTATTTTATATTTTAATTTCAAATATCTAATAATTATTTATAATTTTATATTTTATATATTATTTTTAACAACTTTTTGTAATACAAAAGTAACGAGAATTAATTTTAATTAGTGTTGTTCATCAAACCAATGAAATTAATCAAACTGACACAATTTCTCCCGAGTTGGTCAGATGATCACTTTTAAGTATTTGTAGTTGGCTTCGGTTCAGTAATTTTCCAATCTGACCAAGTTGGGTTAGTTTTGGTTTGGCTATTTGTAAATCGACCCAAATACATACATATATATATATATAAATATATATTTCAAAAATATTTTTTTAATATACGAAAGCGAGAAAATTCACTTATTTCTTAGTTTAAAATATTTTATATTATAATTTAAAATTTAAAATTATTCTTTTAATAATATCAATTAATGTAATATTTTAAATATAATTGAATTTCCAAATTCAATTTTTAAGTTTATATCTTTTGAACTAACCAACCAAACTGAAAATTGACCGAAATCGATACCAATGTTTTCAACCCACCATTATCCCGATTGGTTGAACCGTTCGAATTGTCACCTTACCTTGGTATTAGATCTAGTGGGGACCCGTGCGATGCACGGACTTTGTTAAGTGAAAGTTAAATATATAGTTGTGTTAACATGGAATGGTCTAACCCATTCGACCTAGACAATTGAATCGATGACAGCGACCCAAATGCAAAAGTAGGTTGGTCTCTAGGTTGGTTTTTAAAACATTGACTAATACAACTCGAGTTGGTTGATTTTCACTAATGGCCGATTAGTTTTGAGTAATTAACTCCTCAACCCGACCAAGCCAGTTTGGTTGGCCAAGCAATTAGCAACTGAATTGAACTACCTAGTGAACACTCCTAATTTAAGCTAAATTAATAGCATAATCTCTAACAAATAACAATAGCTAAATCTCCAATATTTATTAAAAATTTATAGTGAAAATGCACAATTACTTAATATATATTAATAACAAAAATATAATCAATAACTAATAAATCTATTATAATGCAAAATTTATATTTTATATTCTCATTGTCGAATATTATTAAATCTATTATGATTAATTTTGTGTTTTTGACAAATTTTTTAAACTTATTACATAATTTCGTATTAATGTCGTTGATATTTTGAATATTTAAAAATTACTTATTTATAATATTAGTTAGTTATTTTTTAAATTTATTTATATCTTATATTTTTATTATCAAATATTATTAAATCTATTATAATACTTTTGTAATGTTGATATTTTTTAAAGTAATAACAATTTTATTATTTAATGTATTTTTTGTTTTTGAAATAACATATAAGGTATCATTTAGTTTTTTATATATAGAGTATTTAAAAATTAGTTATTTACAATAATATTTAATTATTTAAATAGTACCATTATTTAATTTTTAAATTATTAATTATTTATTAAATTTAATAATCCATAAAATTCGAATTTATACTATTATTACATAATTTTGTTATTTTAACTATTTAAAATTTAGTTATGTTAAATATTTTATTAAAGAAATATTTAAATAATAAGTACAATATTTAAATTTTTTGTTATTTAAATTTTATTTCTTTTAAAGTTATTACATAATATTAAATATTTTGTTATTTAAAATATTATTTGTTGAAATATTTAAATAATATTTTTAATTTTTAATTTTATTATTTGAATAATATTTAAATAATTTTTATTTATATTTTTCAAATATTATTTAGTTATATTAATATTTTATATTTCAAATATAATTTAATTGAATAATCCATACAATTATAATTTATATTGTTATTACATAATTTCATTATGAATTTTATAAAAATATAAAGTTATTAATAATATAAATATTATTTCATATTTTAAAATTATTTTTTGTGTTTCTAATAAATATTTTATAGTTATTACATAATTTCATTATAATAATTAAATGAGTGTTAATTTTTCTAATTGAAACTTTCTTTATATAGATATAGATGAAAAGTGGGGGAGAGGATACATAGGAATAGATAATTTAGGAGATAAATAGGAATTAGAGATAGTTAGAGATAATTTATGAGAAAGTGGGTGATAGTTAGTTTCCTAATAAAAAGGAGAGAGAAAAGGGAGACAAGCCATGTTAGGTGGCAATAAATATTAATCAATAAATTAGTCTTTAATAAATATTATTTAATAAAATGTAACAAAAATACAATAAATACAATATGTACAAAAATTATTTTTAATAATTTTTTGCAATACAAAAATAAGAATAATTAATTTCAATAGGGTTGTTCATCAAACTAATGAAACCGACCAAACCAACCAACCCAACCCAACTCAACCCGAGTTGGTCACTTTCTAGTATCTCCGGCCAACTTCAGTTTAGCAATTTCCCAACCCGACTAGGTTGAGTTAGTTTTGCTTTGGCTATTTGTAAACTGACCCGAATTGATAACAATGTTTTTAACCCATCATTGACTTAGTCGGTTGAATCATCTAAACCATCACCCCACCTTGATTTCGGGTCCGATTCTATTAAAATCCACCCTCAAAAAATGTTTGCCCCAATGGCTCAACTATTGACTTGTTCAATCTGGTTACTAGGATGCGGGTTGCATTCTTAATGTATGATCAAACTTTCGAAGTTCATAACTTTGCACTCCAATGTTTGATTCAGGTGATTCTTTTTTTTTTTTGAGTTTGGGTAACTTCGAAATCTATGTGGCCTGCTATTTTTTGCAAAAAAAAACTCTTTTTTTGGCTCAAATCACAATTTTTAATATTTTTTAATAAACAATTAAAAATATAAATAAAATATAAAATAATACATATATTATATGTAAAACATAATTATACACTATTTATTGATAAACTATGTATTTACACACACACACACACACACACACATATATATATATATATACTTAGTGAAATAACAGTAGATAATTATTAACAATAATAACGGCTAATTAATGATAGTAATTACTGTTAATTACTAGTAACAATAATTATTAACACTAATTGGTAAGTGAATAATTTCTGAAAATATTGATAATTTCCTAATTTTGTTGACAAATTTTTGTAATATTGGATATTTTAATTTCTTTTAATAAATTAACTAAAACTACAAAAATTGGATATTTCACTAAGTATTATTATGGAAATACTTGTAATATATTTTGGGTAACATCAAGTAGGATGTTACAAACTCGACCAATACCCGATCGAAGAGTTTTCTCCTTTACCCGGTTTCAGAGATTCCTGCCAAGAGAGACAGAGAAACCTGCTACAAAAATCAGATATTTGGTATGTGTTTGGTTTCATGAGCGTTTATGGATAGGCTGTTTATTTGTACTTTTTCACTTTAAATGTTTATTTATACCTTTTCACTTTAAATGTCTTTTACTTTAAACGTTTCATGTTTTTGTTGTCTGGTTGGGCTTCACTTTAAACGTTTTTTATACTCCACCTCAAATTAATACCCATTAAAGTGTGCCACATCATCATTTGGTTTCAAGAAACGTTGGGGCATTGGGGGAAACAAGAATTTGACGTTTCCCCAAATGCCCCATACATAAAAATCAAAGTGTTTCAGTTTTCTACCATTTATTTGACAAACGGTGAAACTTAGTATGTATTTGGTTCCGTGGGCATTTATGCATAGGCTGTTTATTTGTATTTTTTCACTTTAAACGTTTATATATACCTTTTCACTTTAAACGTTTCTTGTTTTTGTTTTTTGGTTGGACTTCACTTTAGGAGAAACAAGAATTTGGCGTTTCCCCAAATGTCCCATGCACAAAAATCAAAGTGTTTCAATTTTCTACCATTTTTTTGATAAATGGTGAAACCAAACAGCTGTTTCATTTTGCTTCATATGCAATAAACGCCAACACTTATGTGGTGCTGATGTGGCGGTGTTTTTTCAATAAATAGCCACGGAACCAAATACAGCACAAACAATTGTTTCATTTTGCTTCATATGCAATAAACGCCAACGCCTATATGGCACTGATGTGGCGGCATTTTTTCAATAAACGCCCATAAAACCAAAACACAGCCTTGGTCTTTCAATCAAGTTCAAGTGCCTGGAAGAGTG